CTGGTGCATCTCACGTTCTGCTACTCGGTGACAGTTGCTGATGCACGTGAGCACCTACTGTGTGCCAGGCACTGGGCCAAGGGCTCTCTTGCCTTGTCTAAGCCTTTGCAGCTAGCATATTTAGTACCATTTTTAGAAAGAAAAAAGCCAAGGACCCAACAAGCCAAGAACTAGCTCAGGGGAACCGGACTGGTCGGTTTGATCTTGGCTCACAGGACCCTGATGTCCTGATGTCTATATCCCCACCTGTGAAACAGCGGGCTGTGCTCCTCCCCAGACTTCCTCGCACACCATGATATGAGTCACTTTCCCTCCTCCCTAAGTAACATGATCCAAGCTCTGTAGAAACACTGTCCAGCCGCGCTCTCTCATTATCTTCCCTGTGGCACCCCAAAGCATGTTGGCCACCAGCTTAGTGAGCTTTGTGCTGGAAAGATGGAGAGCCAGTGCTGTGATTTGCCTTAGTCAGCCATTGGCCTGGATGGCTGGTCGTCATCATTCTTTGCCTGCAAAAATATTTTAAAGCTCAACTTAAATATAGCATATTCTCTTTACTTACAATAATTATGCTCTGTGACCACTCACTTAGCAAATACTGAACCATTTCTCATAAGAGAAATACAGGGTTAGGTTCCTATAAGCCTCAAACAATTTTGTCAGCTGATCGATACATACATTTGTTTTGCATGTGCTCTTGTTTAAAGACCTCTTGATTAATACACATTGTTGACTCATGATCATTGAACTCAGAGCCAGCAGTTCTGTAGCTTATGCTGAACAGAGCTTATCTGATGTGCATACAGTATTTTCTCTGCAAGGCGTGTCACAACCTCCTTGTGCTTAGGAACTTTAGTTAGCACTATGGTTAGGAGTCATTTTTAAAATATTTTGTTTATTTATTTGGTACAGGATCTCACTACACAGCTCAGACTCATAGTGATCCTCCTGTCTCAGCCTCCTCAGTGCTGGGATTATAGTTGTTTACTACCACAGCTAGTTTTGGTAGCTGGCAAGGCATGCCCAGGGTCCCGGGGGCTGGCACAGCATGTGGTACCAGCTTTTGAACTTGAGACCTTATGATTGCCAGGCAGGCCCTTATGCCACTGAGCTATCTTCCCCAGCCCTCACCTGGGTATCTTTTACTGTTTGACACAAATTTTTGCCATTCACATGTCTACAAAGTACCACAAAAGCTTTTATTTGGGTAACTATTGTAAATGAATTATTTTCTTGATTTCTATTTTGGAAAAGTCATGGTTAGTATATAGAAAAGCTACTGATTTTTGTGTGCTACAAAAATTAATAATTGCAACTGTACTGAATTCAAAACTGTTTTAGTGGACTCTTTAGGATTTTCTATATGTAGTTACGTCATCGACAGACAGTTTAGCCTCTTTCTGATTTAGATGCTTTTATTTTTCCCTCTTGCCTCATTATGCTAACAAGGACTCCAGCACGACATATTGAGCAGAAGTGGTGAGAGTGGGCATCCTTGTTTCTGATTTTAGAAAAAAGTCTTTCAGATTTTCCTTATTACATATGGTATTCACTGTAGACTTATCCTATAGAGCTTTTATTGGTTGAATTACATTCTTTGCATGCCTCTTATTGAGGGCTTTGTCATGATAAGTTGCTGTTTGTTGAATGCTTTTAATGAATGCTGTATATGGCTTTTAATCCTTAATTCTGGTCTCTGAGCATCACACTTATATATTTGTATGTGTTGAACTATCCTTGGGGCTCTAGGATAGGTCCTATATGAGCTTGAAGAGTGATCATTTTTAGGTGCTCCTGAATTTGATTTGCAAATATTTGTTGAGAATTTCTGTCTGTGTTTATCAAGGATATAGGCCTGCAGTTTTCTTTTCCTTTAGTGTTCTAACCTGCCTTGGGATCCCTGAGTGATGCTGGCTTTGTAAAATTATGTTGGAAGTTTTTCCTTTTCTTCAGTTTTTTGGAAGAGTTTAACAAGGATTGGTATTAGTTCTTCCTTAAATGTTCAGTGGAATTCACAAGTGAGGTCATCCTGGGCTTTTCATTCATGAGCGTTTTGCTTACTATGTACATCCGTTATTATTGATCTGTTCCAGTTTTTCTTCATGATTCATCTTGGTAAATTGTGTATGTCTAGGAATTTATCTTTTCTATTTAATTTATTGTGTTTGATTGTTCATAGTAGTCTCTTTGTATTTCTGTATGAATTGTATGTGTCTCTTCTTTCATTTCCAACTATAAGTTTTCTTTTTTTCTTGGTCTAGCTGAGGCTTAGCCAGTTTTGCTTATTTAAAAAAAAAAAAGTTTTATTCACTTTTTTGTTTTCTAATCTGTTTCATTTCTTTTTTAATCTTTGTTATTTCCTTCATATTACTAAATTTGCGGTTGGTTTGTTCTTTTTCTAGTGCCTTTTATTGTACCGTCATTTATTCGTGATCTTCCTTTTTGAGGTAGACATTTATTGCTATGAATTTCCTTTATTGTTATTAACACATGTTATACATATTAACATGCTCATTGTGCTATTTCCACTTGTGCATACATTATTCACTGATAAAAGCTGACCTCTCTTTTCCGTATCCACACCCATACACACAATTTCCAATTTCTAGTAGCCACCACCCTGCTTTCAATTCCATGTGGTGCTCTCTTTGTCTGGCTTATTTCACCTAACATGGTGTCCTCCAACTCCACCCACTTTGCTAAAAATGACAAAATTTCCTTCTTCTTTACGGTTGAATAATATTTTACAGTGTTTACGCACACATTTTATGAGTTCATCTATTAATGGACACCTAGGCTGATTTTATATCTTAACTATTGTGAATAATGTTACAGTAAACATGGTCACACAGTTATCTGTTATATATATATATATATATATTATATATATATATATTTAATATATATATCTCCAGAAATGGGATGACTGAATCATACAGTAGGTCTCTTCTTTAGCTGTTTGAGGAGCCCCCGTACTCTTCTCCGTAGCAGCTAGACTAATTTATATTCCATCAACACTGTACGATGGTACCTAAGATCAGGAACTTAATTCATTCCACAATTCTGGTTACAAACTGAACTGGCCAGAAACTGAATCAAAGTTCCCCATAAGGATCAGTGTAAATAAAATTAATCCACTGTGATCCCTAGGAAAGAACGTGGTTATGAACAAATTTTTGTGGCAAGCCAAATCAAAGTTTCCCATAAGTTCAGCATAAATAAGCTTAGTTATATTTTTTTAACAAAAATGGGAAACAAAGTACAGTACAGTGCAGGAGAGTACCCCTCCATAAGGGCGCTGGGGCGAGCTCCTTCAGGAGTTTCCTCTCTTCTTTGTCTCTTACCTGCAGTTTCAATTTTGGTGAAATGAGAGAAAATGTTGTCATTCATGACTCTGTTCATTACAGTTATGTTGGGGTGGTACTTCTTGAAATCTAGGACTTACTCAGTTTTTCCATAATGGATTTTATCCCATTACAAATAACTCAAGTTTATTCTTCTTTCTGGTAGTATGGAATGTAGATGGCAGTAGCATTTTGAATTATGCTGCTGTAAACATGGGTATTCACACTTTTTTCATGTATTTTTTGACCAATTGCATTTTTTCAGCTGAGAAATATCTATTCATTTTAGATGTCCAGTTTTAATTAGATCTTTAAATTTGAGGGATCTAATTTTTGGGATTCTTTATATATTCTAGATATAATTCCTTTGTCTGAGGAGTAGCTGGCAAAAAATTTTCCCTATTCTGTAGGTTGTCTCCACACTGTTGGTGGTTTCCTTTACTGTGCAGAGCTTATTATTCTTGACACTTCGTAAAACAATTCCGGAATTGTCTTTACTTGCATTATTGTGTCTGCCTTGATGTCCTCAATCAATTCAAAACATTTACTTTTCATGGTCATTTTGACTTTGAAGAAGTGCCAGGATTTGCACAATGCCAGATCCAGTAAAGAACGTAGATGAGGACACACTGTATATTTTGTGAGCCTACCTTTTTTATTGGATTGGCTCGGTAGCAGCACTCAGCATAATTTTGATCATACCTAAAAACTGTCCTGAAACAGGACTTCCAGAACTGCTACACAAAGTGGTAAGAATGATGGGATAACTAAGCTCAAAAGAAGGAAGACTGGGGGGGGGGGGAGGTAATGGCAATGGGGCAGTGTGTCTTAACGTAATAAATGTTTAAAATTTAAACAAGTATCATATATTTTTGATCATACCATATAAGGTGGTCTCAAAGGGTCCAAGGTTTGAAGTATAGGAGTGTCTATGCCCATGAGATGGAGTAAGCTAATTTTTCAGGATGTATTTGTGTTTACCGAACTAGGACCTCTCCAGGCCCCATAGTTTAAATCCGTATCATGTAGGCATGATCACTTACTAATTTTATTTACAGTCACTTTTTCTATCTGAAGAATGGAGAGTAGGGATATACCCTAATAACTGAAAATCTCTGTCTCCTAGTGGTAGTATAACAGGTAATTTGTACTTTTTGTTTATTCTTACATATATTTTCTGTTAATATTTTCTAAATACTCCATACCAGGTATATGTTTTGTAATCAAAAACTAATGTTATTTTAAATAATACAATTTCAAGTATGATGATGATTTCTGGTTCTTTTCTTGTTTCTTTTTGTGACCACCATTGTAGGAATAAAATTAGAAAAGAAATTTGTTATTTTTCCTGTTAAGCCTAGAGATTCTGAAGCGATTTGGGGAAACTTCTCAGCATTGCCAGGGCCAGTTACACTCTAACTATGCATGTGAGTTTCCTTCAGGGCAGTGTATGGCTTCAGGGTGTAACCAGTTGACCAGTGATAATTTTATAATGTAGACCATTGTAAATTAAACCATGTGTGGCATATCTAGCTCAAGACGTTCCCGCCCAAATGAAAGTATTTTAGGTTTTCCAACCATGCTCATGTTCAGTAGAAATCTTTCTGATTATAAATTCTGTTCCCCGGATGTAATAATTTTCTTCTCCTGTTTTCTTAGACAGAATCATGAATAAACTGGAGGGTAAGCAGGACCAGATGATACCATGAAGAGAAGTTTACAGGCCCTCTATTGCCAACTGTTAAGTAAGTTCATAATACATCTTCTCTCCTAGAATCTACCAGTGTTACTGCTTGCAAAGTGCCAGAAACATATTTTTGGGAAGACCAGGGTTGGGTCAGTAAAACAGAACAGTAAATTTTCTTTCTGCTTCGTCTGGATAAAGTACCAAGCATTAAGTCATTCTGAGGTGTTGGGCATCAGTTGTAATACGGGCTCCATTGTAATAATTCTAACATGATGTGTTGAGCATAGTTAATTTGAAAATGCCTGTGAAAATATTCTCGCTCTTGTTTTATGATAGAATACAGACAGGGTCTTCCAGCATGAACTTCTGTAGGTTTACTCATGGAGAAGAAACCATACATTGCATTTTGTCACATAAAACCGTACGACCTATGGATTGAGATGTTATAAAAGTTATGCTTAATTCTCAAATAATGAGTGCTTAAAATGTGATTTCTTGGTTTTGTGGTAAAAGAACAGGAGTTTATGACTTTCTACATGTTGCTAACATCATGATAGAAGATTCTGCCACAAAGCATCAGTGGCCATTTATTATCTATACAGCCTTCAGATTTGGAATTGTCACTGAACAAAAGTAAAAAGCAATGCTGATTGGTGGGTTTGATGTTCTTATTGACCCATTTGAAACAAGAATTGTCTACTCCAGGTCAAACCAAAGCTATGGATTTAGAAACTTGAAGTTTATTGTGTTTGTCTACCTGCTAAGATAAATGGAAAGCTATCTTTTTTTAAAATAAGCAGCACCTTGTTAACTTACAGAGAAAATAAAGTGAAGGAGATTGGTATGTAAATGACCATCGGTCAGCCCTTTCAGAGTAGTAATTCAGGTTGTATTTTTGTACCCCTGATGCAAAGCACTTTATCTACAGACAGCATTCTGAGTGTTTTAATTGACTCATTTCTTCTGCTGAATTCTAATCCCTGAAACACAGATCAAGTCAGGCTATTTCAGCCTAGTGGAAGGTCGCCAAGAATTGTGGGGACCCTCTTATGTTCTTTTTTCATGTGCTCCACAGGACTGTGGGTTTGTCGCCCTTTTTATCATGAGCTTGTTTGTTAGTGGAAAAGCTTTACAGATTGAAGAAGCAGTGTCAATCAAGGAATGATTAACTCTGCCTTGATGGAATAGGGGACATTCCATCAAGGATAAATGAAGTTTCATATATGCACATAGCAGGAGAGGCAGGCTTTGTAGTAAGAGAAACAAGAAATGATAAAACAGAATAGAAGATTGGGGAGGCAGCACAATGTTTGTTGAGATCACCTATGCAGATTGTGTACTCCAAAGTTTGTATAATGTTTTAAGATCATATACTATTTAAAGCCATTGGCTGCTGGGGAGATGACTCAGTAGAATAAAGGCATTGGGTGAGTTGCTATACAGTTCAGAGACAAGTTTTATCCTATGGCAGGGTCCATCCTCTAAAGTGAACAACTTTAAAAGGGAAGGTATTTCAAACATCAAAAGAGCTAAAAACAGATATAGACATCAACTATGTTTTAATTCCTCATTATTTGCAAAGCTTGCTGGGATATGCTTATAGCTCAGTGTAGGTATTTCTTTACTGGTTAGGAGTTAGTTAGCAACCTTCACTAAATCACCCTAAGTAGTGGCACACATACACAATATAGTAAGTGTCTCTTTGGTCGTCAGTTATTACGTTATGTTATATTAATGTTGTCTACAGTTCAATATTTTTGTCATATCCAAAACAGACTTGAAAACTAAAGAATCGATAGAAATATAATATACTATTTTAAGTAATTAGAAAGCCAGTTTTTTAATTTAGAAAAAAAAACACCTGACTATTCTGGTTATTCATTGCTGTTTGACAAATTAAAACTGTGTGGCTTAAACAGTAACAACCATATATTGTGCCCAGGAGTCTTCAGCTTGGGCAGGTCTTGGCAGACACCCCAGTCTCTGCAGCACAATGTCTAGGAGCTGGGCTGGAACAAGTCCAAGCAGCTGGGAATTGGAGCAGCTGGGGTGGCCTCTTGTGTCTCTTCCCAAGGCCTTCTGATAGCAGGCTGAAGCTTCCACACAGCATGCTGACCTCTGGGCAGCCACACTTCCTATATAGCGGCTTGCCACTGAGAGGCCAGACTGAGGGTCCCACAGCAGTATGATATTTAGTGAGCTTTTTATCACTGTAGGAAAATCCTTGAGGCAGTGCAATATCTTACCTACTTTTCTCCATGCTTATCCTATCCCTGGACGCCACCCAAGGACGTCACCATGGTACCCACCCAGGCCAGCTGTCCTACTATAACCCATTGTCTGTAGTTGTCTTGTGTTACATTTAGATGGAAGGCTGTTTGACAGAACTAATGAATGCCAAGGTGTGTTCATTGGTTAGGAAGAATTAAAGAACTCCTCCCTCCTTAATTCTCAGGGATATTTGCATTTTTAAAGAGATTAATTTTACCTTTTTAAAAAAGCACTATTTTTTTTTCAAAACACTATTTTTATATCATTTTAAACAGCCACATTACAGCAGTTTAAATAGGCAGCCATCCCAAGGCTTATCCATTTGGAGCGGTCCCAGCTCATCTCTTATTTTGGCTCATTTCTTGCCTCTTGGTCCATCTAACACCAGCAATCATCTTATGCTTTATATGTACTCATCTCACCCCCATTTGGAATTCCCAACCCTGGGTACCTCAAGTCATGTTTAACTTGCTTTCTGCCCCATCCTGGGTACATTTCCATATCAGTTCCTGCTGACTCTATTTAGTTCTTTGCTCCCAATTATCTCTGGACAGGGCTCCCTATGGTCTTCCCTGTTGTCCTGGTGAACCAGCTGTCCTTTCATAAGCCACACATTAAAGACATTTGTAAAAGTTTTAAACAGTGGCACTTTGTTTCAGTACTGGGAATTGAACTTAAAAGCCTCAAGCGTGCTAAGCAAATGCTGTCCCATTGAGCCATGTCTCCACACCCACCCCTCCATGTGGTTTTATACACAGGGTCTCCGTGAGTTATCCAGTCTGGCTTCAAACTTGTGATCCTTCTGCCTCAGCCTCCCAAGTAGCTGAGATCATAGGTGTGTACCAACACACCTGGCATTCCACTCATTTTTATCAGAAAATTATAGTTATTTTTCAAAAGACATGCTATTAACATGGATTGGGTTTGTTTTTATTTTTAATGAAATACTTTTTTGTTTGTCTGTTTCCAAGCTTTATGATCCAAATAGCAGTATTTTGGAGTACTCAATAAAATTTAAGAAAATGAAAGAGTTACAAAATGTTTGAAAACTACTGACATAAAGGAATTTTTTTTAATTCCTTAGAAAAGCATTTAAATTAACAGTCTTGTGCCCCCACTTTCCACTCCTCTCTCATCTCTTTCTCATTTTCACACACACACACACACACACACACACACACACCTTCACCTCCACCTCCGCCTATTCCAGCCATCATAGGTGACATTAGATCCCCTCATGAAATATTTGGCTCTGAGTAAGCATGTGCTTGCTTTCTTTTCCTCAGATTTCATATAGTCCATATGGAGGCTTGGGACTCTGTTTCATCATTTATCCCTCTTTCTCTAGCCTAACGAAGAGCTTGACTCTAAATGGGATTCAATAGTTGTTTATCTTAATGTTCTTTCCTTCTTTCTTTCTGTATTTAGTACAGCAGCTACAGGGTCTCACTATACAGCTCGGACTTGTAGTGATCCGCCTGTGTTCAGCCTCCCAAGTGCTGGGATTACAGGTGTGCACCACCATGCCCAGTCTCAATCACCATGTCAGCATGCCCCAGTGGCGGGGCCAGCATGGCAAGTCTGGGGACCAAACCCCAGCCCCTGTACCTGCTTGGAGGCTCTTTAATCCACTGAGTTATTTGGCTGGCCCTAATGTGCCATATTTCATCAACTCTAAGACATCATTTTGGTGTCCTGGTGTCCCTGCCAAGTTTTTAGTATCCTAAGTAAAGAATTGGACAAGACACGAAAAAAGGCAGTGAGGTTTTACATTTATTCAAGCTAGGAAGAGAAGAGCATCATGCAGAGTAAGAAGGGGCCACTGAGAGAATCTCACAGAGGCCATAGGTAAATGATAGGAGTCTTGTATTTCTCATTCTTCAGCCTTCCAACAGATCTAGACCATTCTATCAAAAATCTGCTTGATTTCACACCAGAAGTGAAGATATTACTTTGTGATTGGTCACAGGTGCATGGCCTGGAAACTGTGTTCTGAACAAGTCTTGTATCTCTGGGATTGACAGGTCATACGAATTTGCTCCGCCCATTTGCCCCACCCTAATCTTCTCTCTCAGTAAGATACTCTTATCTTATAAGAACTTCTAAGAAAGAAAAATGTTGCTTATATTATCACACACCACTGGGCACATCTTACAGTATGGAAACACATGAATGGATAAAATACACAATTGATGCCTGGGTCGTGGCTGGATGGGTGACATAGCCCCATGTCTGTTCCACTAAATTCTCTATGAGGACCAAGACTCAGCAAATCCTTTTGTGTTCCCGACTTCCACCTCAGGTGGGTCCCATGAAAGACTCTTTCCTTTGGAAGCTGAAGACAAATCAGAGAAGCTAACCATCATTAACTGAAGTTGGTTCCTGTATTCTCTCTCCAGGGTTTGTTTCTCCTGATAAGTGAGAGGAAATGTTCTGTAAAATTAAATAGGAGTTAGCACTCAAAGACCAATCGCCTTCCTGTAGATGAATAGCAAACTCACTGAGAGAAAAATTAGTGAAACACCACCTTTCACAGTAGCATCCAAAAAATGAAATATCTAGGAATCAATGTAAGGATGTAAAAGATATCTACATTGAAAATATAGCACTCTCAAAACGCAAATTGAAGCTGATATTAAAAAATAGAAAGATATCCTTTGCTCTTAGAAAGAACCAAAAATAGTGAAAAATGGCCATATTTCCAAAACTGTTACACAGATGTAATGCAAGTCCAATCAAAATTCAAATAATATATGTCACAGAATTAGAGAAAACTATCCTAAAATT